TKWTYWYMTMAWAMAAYGTCTCAATAATTCTCATCACCCACTGATGTGGTTAGTGTGACTAAAAGTATTATTCTTCAATTACTTAAATTTTTTTCTAAAAAAACACATATTCAGGGATTTTTCATCTTTTTTTCCCTAAACATAACAATAAATAATACAACTTGTTTCAATTTCTTATTTGAGTTATTGAAAAATAAAATGACAAAAAAAAAAAAGTGAGAGATAGAGATGCATTCAGGGCAGCCATTTTTTGCCATGTTTGAGTTTCGATCCAATTCCTTGTCCGAGCTCGTCGGGAATGTCAATCGCAGCCATGTTCAGATGAATTACTCAAGCTATTTTCATCACACGATGATCACCTTACCAAGGAGGAGGTCATTGAGAGAGTCCTCGCGGTTACCAAGTGTCATCCCAAAGTGGATCCGTCCAAGGTGATTCGATCTTATCACTAATTTTCACTTTTTTTTTCTAGTTGATTGAGTCGTTTGGAAAAAAAAACTAAAAAAATTGAATATTCGATCAAACAATCTAACTAAATATAAGAAAATACAAGACATTGACTGAAAGAGAAAATTTACATATCGAACGAGAAAAGAAATTCAAGTTTTGATGAAGAAAATGTTGGAAGAAAGAGTAAGAAAAAACTTTTTATATATTTGTAGAAAATAAGAAGTTACGAAATTTTTGAAATTCCTTATTAATTATAATTCAAAATAAGTTATAACTTTTAACAAATAAAGAGACAAAACCCTCCATATTCTAACTCTTTATATTCTAACCATTAGGAGGGATAGTTTATTAGAAAGAGAAAATTAATCTGAGAAATGTAAAATTTGTAACAATAATGGAGATTAAATATTTTAAAAGAAATGAAAAAAAAAGAGAGAAAGTGGCGTGGAAGGGAGAGAAATAGGGAGTGAGATAGAAAATTTTATAGTTGAAAGACAAAATTACCTTCAAAATATGTACGAGAATGTTGAAATTAAAAGGATAAAATAAGGAGAAAAAGTTTCTCCCTATAACTCCTTTTATAGCCTTTTATATTTTATATATAGCATAGATATGTAAACTTCCCCTCTTATAAAGTTTGGACTTAAACTTATTGGATCACCAAGACCCAATTGCAAATGGATGTAGGTCCAGAGCCCAAATTCCAAATCACTCGTCTCGGATAAACCTCAAGAAAAAAAAAAAAAAATATATATATATATATATATAATGGAAAATAGCCAAAACAAGAGTAAAAGTTATTGTACACATTCTAATATTACTGTGTTTTTAATAATTTAATCATCATTTGAGTCAAAAGAAAAGTAAGATTTCACATTATTGGTTATTTACTTTCCAACAACTTTAGATTTCAAACAAAATTAAGAATAAAAGAATAAATATGAAGCAATAGTGTAGTACATATAATTAGATGGACACAAGGGTTGCATGGGGTGGTTGACAAACGCAAGCAATGCCCCAATTCCATGTGCAAATGATTGCTCAATTTGAACAAGTCACACATAAAAACCTATCAATCATTTGTGCTTCCACTTAATTACATCATAACCACACCAAACAAAATGCAACAAAAAGTTCCTTCACATCACCAAAGAAAAAAAATAATTCAAATTATTATAATGGGTCGATAACTTTCTTTTTAATATGAATAATAGTTAAATGGATAAAACACGTATTACTGTTTTTGAGGTTCCATCTAGTGGGAAAAAAAAAAGATATTAGTAATCATTTTAGATGTCCTGGATTTTAATTTATAGTAGAAATAAAAATCAATTGGATGAAAAATTATTAAATAAAAATCAATTTTTAATATTGTATTTTCTAAAATTATCTTTGGGCAGAAGTATAAGAGAAGTTTAATATTATTATTTTATTTTATATTACTTTAATGGAGAAGAAATAAGGAGATCTTTCTATATATCCAAACATCCATATCTAAAATAAAATTTGGGGAGCTCACAAGTTATAAATTTAGAAACCAAATGGAATTTTTTTTTTTCAAGAATGATATTTAGGTGTTGATTCGTTAGTGCCCACTGTATTGACAACAATTAAATTTTTTACRAGCAAAGAAGAAAAATGCATAAAGGACGATATCCTTTTTTATATTGTTAAAAAAAAAAGCTATTAAATTTTTACTAGTAGTTAGCATATATTGAGCGAGACTTGAAAATCGTATACAAGATATGGGGTGGGAGAATTAAAATGGTGTTTGCCTCAAGAATAAATGCACTTTTAAACCACAAAATGAATATTAATATGATTGACTAGACGAGATCTCACACATATCCTATAATTAATATTGAAATGAAAAAGAAAATAATGTACTAAAAAAAATATTAAACTTTAGCACTAAAGTTCAATTTATTTACTCTCAAAATTTTTGATTAAAATGAGAGAAGAAATAACACTAGTAAAATTAGAGTTCCAAATTTTTATGGAGACGTATTTTTTTTACCAATATTTCTTAATTTATAACAATTTTAATCACCTGATTTTATACGTAAATAGCGTATWATGTTAAAATCTTGAATATTAATTTTGCCATGAATATAGTTCAATTTATTCAGACACTTGTCAAAAGAAAAAAAAGACTACTGCAYAGAGGTCAAAGATTTAAATTTGATGAACTAAATAATATACAAAACAAAAGACAAAATAAAATAATAAAAATAAAATAATCGCCACAACTTTATTATAAACAAGGAATGGAAGAGCAAGGGAAAAGAAATTAATGGGACCCGATGATGACAAAAGGACATGTTAAATAGTAAGCTAAGTTATAGTTTTAGTCCTGAAACCATGTGTATGTATCTTTTCTATGTTGTCAAATTTCAAAAATTTTAATTATACCCCCTTTTACCTTTTCAATTATTTCAAAATTCTCTATTTATGTCATAGACCAATTTAATTAGAAGCTCATTTATAGGATTAATTTACAAATTTCACTATTTTTTTTAAGAAAGAAAAAATGATAAACTTGAAACCACTACGGTATAATTTGAAGGAGAAGTTGAAATATACAATTCGTATTTATATCATGAATTTTAGTTCAAAGGATAATTTTGGAATAATTAGAGAATTGGAGAGTATATTTCAAACTCTACAAAGTTTGACTTATAGGTTTGAAAATTTATATATATAGACACACACTAGGAGAACAAAGCTATAATTTAGCCCTCTAATTTCTAAGAGGAAAAGAAAATATTTTGAGATTCTCAAAGATGAGAGCTTAATTGGGAAGACTTGGGAGGATCAAATAATTAGAATGGACTAACAAAGATTGGACTTTTTGAAGTGTCCTTAATCTTATCATATATTATAATGAGACATAATTATAATTTGTAGGATAAGAGTGCATAAAATAAAAAAACGGGAATTTATTCGAAAAAGGGAATATATTTAAAGGCAAAACTTTATTAATAAAATAATTATAAATAGGTTAAATACAAAGCAAGCGCATAATTTTTTTTTTTCTTAAATAACTTTGTTGCAATTAAATCATACTATTATAATCAGAAAAAAAAAATTCTCATAAGAGTATACTTGCAATAATTCCATTATTTGGAGGCGATTTAAAGTTTAAATTTTAGGTTAAGTCAATTATAGCAAACTTCTTAAGGATGATTTGCACATTCTTTTTCAAATTGCAATCTGTGACAAATTATATGATTCCATGTAGCAATCTTCCTAAGTTTCATCATAGATAATATTGAACAATATGGCAACAGAACTCAAAAAATTCAAGGGTAATTTTCCATCCTAAAATCTTTTAAAATCATTATTAACATCCATGTTTCTCTCGTCTTACTGTTATAACATTTACATTTTATTGTTTTCCACCACCTGATTTATTTCCTTCTTACACTTTATAAAAACACATCAATTAACTGATGGATAAAAAGTCGTCGAATTTAGGGGTTATCAAAGTCATATAATTTTTTATCAGTTTGTTGGAGGCAGATTTCCACATGCCACGTGTCAACATCGTAAAAGTACTTGAGTTAAAATCCGTTTAGATTATAGTAATCCGTTTAAGTCCTTTCAAGTCGGAAACCGAGGCACGAGCCGAGCTGCCCATCCTCTGCCGTTGACCTGTTTAAACGGTATGAGCCGACCTAGAAGTGCATTCAAGGGAATGTCTCTAAAATCTGACAACACGCCGCGTAACGGATGGTTGGATGACCGTTGGTCCTATGTAGGTACTCCTGTCGGATCCAAACTCTATAAATAGAGTTGTCTGCTCTCGGTACAAGGTACGGGAATCCATTTGCATTCATTGAGTTAGATCGGATAAGAGTTAACTTTGCTCGTTGGAGTGCTAACCTTGTTTTGCAGGTTGCGGAGGACTAGGAAGATCATCTCATGTGCTCTGACCTACGTGGATTCCGCTGTGTTGATGGTATAGAATCAAAGGTGGAAATTAGCAAAAAAAAAAAAAGGTGAGAGATTCAAATAATGATGAGCAGTTGTGTGAAGTAAGATGGTGAAACAGAAAGCTAAGTAGTAAGTAAAAGTGTGTGGAAAAATGAGGTTTGAGTAGGTCAAGAACAAGAGCTTGGAAGACCTGTCTGTACTATCAAAATATTAAGAGAGAGAGAGATGGCAATATTAAATATTCAAAAATGAAATTTGAAAAAAAAAAAAGAAGAAAAAGAAAAAGCATATAGAGAAAAGTTTGAATTACAATATGACTCTTTCTTTTGACAGTGACAAATGATTCTTAGAGGGAAGAATATATTAAAGGAACAAAGCTATATATTGGTTTTGATATTATTATCTCATGTATCATCTTTATTTATTTTTTCTTTTTTCTTCTTAGTACACACATGGAATAAAGTTACGATCATCTTTTGTTTCCTCTTGTCTGCATCGTCTTCGATGTCGTCTTTTTTTAGTTTTAAAATCTCCGACTCATATATTTGAAGATTTTGAACTTTATTAACTTCTTCCTACCCTTATTTTCTCTCACTCTATGTTTTCTCTTATTAATAATTGATAAAAGAATGACCTTATAATGTGGCGTTGAGTCAATGTTTTAAGATTGTTCAAATGTGCAAGAAAAATCTTTAGGTATATTTATGGATTTGATTTTGATTTTGAGTATTTATGGATTTGCATTGATTGCATGTTGATTCGTTAGAGAAATTTGACCAAAATTATCATACAACTTTATTATTGCCAGACACTAACCTTACACATTAGAGTTAACGAGTCATTTGATTATCTTTTTATTTTTATTGATATATACGGTTGAATTGTCCTAGTTATCGAGATTCATTACTGCACTGAAAGAAATAATTATTAAAAAAAGTAAACATTTTTTAGTCTAAAAGAAATCCTAAAGTAATGGAAACTTCAACTAGCACTTAATTAGTTCCCCCATTTTAAAATTCTGCAGCTCAGTTAGCATTGGCGCCAGCAGAAGTCGTCACCACGAGGCTAAACTACCAAAAGCCCCCGCAGTGTTCACCATATTGACAGAATTGCCACGATTTCAAACCATGCAACCGCGTCTAAAATGAGGGAGAAAAAGGAGAAAACTTGGGGATAAGTGTTTTTGAGTATTTTAAGAATCAGTTATCAAACTCCAAATCCAAAAAGGCAGCAAAAGCTTGGCATCATAATCCATTCCCATCCACAAAGTGGGTGGCACCAACTTTAATTACCCAAAAAGCCCAGGGGCATTTTCGTAATCAAGTTTCTTTATAAACAACTAAGGCAACACTGAATCAAAAATCAAACACCACACCACCCCAACCTCTCTAAAACGAAAATGGTTGGCCCATCTTCCCCAAAGATTCTTCCTTCTCTACAAATTTTCTCAGTGAAGTCCTCGTCTTCTTCGACCTTAATTTTCGTAAAGTTCAAAACTTTCCTCCACACTCTCGTCTTCTCGCACCTATGTCGATTGACTCGAGCGATCTCACGAGCCAAGTCGACCGTGGTTCACATCGTGAAGGAGAGTTATCATAGCAAGAACAAGAGCAAGAACAAGATCTTCTTTGGATCCTTTAGACTCCACTACAATTGGTGTTCTTCCCACGTGATGCCGGTTCCCGCCCCGGTGTTGGAAGGCCATTTCTACTATGACTCCACGTGGAACTCGCTCATTTCTGAAGACGAACTGCGGAAAGGAGGTATGTTAAATTATCACTAAACCCTTAACTTCAACAGATTTAACTTTTTGTAGGTTTCAAATAGCCTAAGTGATAGATTACGATAAATTTAATTTTTTTTTTTTTATATTTTCAGTCGGAGGTACGGTGGATAGCCCACAGCTGTCGGGGTATCTACAGTGGCTGGAGGAGAGAAAAATTGGAGGGAATAATTTGAGGGGGGAAAGTGAAGGGGAAATGAATGAGATTGACAAATTGGCAGAGATGTTCATAGCCAGCTGCCATGAGAAGTTCAGGCTGGAGAAACAGGAGTCCTATAGGAGATTTCAGGAGATGATGGCCAGAAGCATGTGAAAGAAATTTGAGAACAAAAAAACAAAAAATTCGTGGTGGGTTTTTGGGGAATTTTTACTTGGAAAATTGTGGGAAATTATTGGCTATCATATTTTCTTTTTTCTTGGAAAATAGAAGGTGGGGTTTGAGGAGAGAGAGATGTTGATGGTGATGGGATGGTGGTTGGTAATGTTTTGTGGAGTATTATTCCTCTTAGTGTGTATATTTTGGGGTGGAATTTAATCCATTTTCATATCCAAAATTAAAGCTTACTTACTTTCTTTTGAAATATGTGTTTTCTTTTTCTTTTGGAATTATGTTCCTATTTAACAAGCTTAGCTACATGATTATCAAAGCTTGTTGTTTGGGCTCAAAAATCTCGGCTCAAGTTTGAACTTTGAGATTCTAAGTAGATGAGTACCACAAGGCTACTTCTTAATGCGCCGTTCTTCAAGAACAACGTTTTAAAATATTTTCAAACGAAATGTTGAAAAAATAAAAGGAAAATACCTCATGAACAAATGTAGTAGGTGCAAAATGAAACTTACCACTAATTAAAACATTATACGAGATTTTTAGTCTTTGCTATGCTTTAATGACGATTCAATTCAAAGGTTTAATCCGTTTATTAAGTTTGGAATAAAAAACAATTTCATTTGGAAATTTAAGATTTGTAGAGTTTAGTTGGGTATAAGTTTTTTTTTTTATATTTAGAAA